CCCCCCTCCTATAATTTTTGTTCATGGATCTCGTAAATTTGATTTCAACAATTTTCAACAAAATTACTAAAAATTCAGGGTTAGGTTAGGTAAGACTCTTTCTGGGCCGAGCGCTGCGGCTAGGATAGGCTATGGGGCCGAGCGCCACGGATAGGGAGCTGGGCGCTGTGGCCACATGACTAATTATATCCGTGTTATACATGAGATCCATACTTTAGTGATAAGGGGGGGGGGGGGCGAAATATCGTTTTTATAGTTCAAGTAAGTTCTTTTAATTTTTGGTTCATTGTACGCAGATTTAACATAGTTTCACTTCCAAATAACAGATACAATGGAAGGTTTGGACGATGCTGGAGTATTTTTCTCCTGTAACTTCTCTGTATCTCAGAACGTGGATGGGACTGCTAATGTTGCAATGAAGAAACAGTTTGTTGAGTTCCTCAGGGACTTCACCTAGGAGAAGAACTTCACTTTCAAGTACAGAGACACCATCAAGAACAATTATCTCAGGTAAATTAAAATAAATTATTAATTTTGATTTTTTTTTAACAAAATAGGATTTTTTTATTTTCATATTTAAAAAAATTAAATGTCAAGTCACTAGTAGGTGTAAAGGAAATCTATACATATAGTTGCAAAAATAAATCTCAACTCAAATCTAGCAAGGAAAAATCTACTTTTCCTTGCCGTAAAACTTCCTTTTGAGGGGGAAGGGGGGGTAGAGTCAAGGAATTTCGGGCCTTCCTAGAAAGCGATTTTTGGACCCCCCCTGCCCCCCCCCCTTCTATCAATTTTGTACATGACTTTTTCAACAATTTTCAATTAAATTAGTATTTATTTAGGATTCGGTTAGGTTAAGGCACTTTCTGGGCCGAGCGCTGCGGCCACGAGTTAGGTTAAGTATGACACTTTATGGGCTGAGCGCTGAGGCTAGGACAGACGAGGGGGCCGAGCGCTGCGGCCACATGTCTTACATTTAATTGAAAATTGTTGAAAAAGTCATGTACTAAATTGGGGGCAGGGGGGTCCAAAAATCGTTCTCTAGGAAATTACCAGGAATTTCTAGTTATTTTCAAAAAAAAATTTTAAATTTTGCTAAAATGTTGCACACACCGAAAAATTTAACAATAATACTTTCTTTAAATATCTCTGTCGTTCCCTGCTGCACAGTTGACACGTCTTAGTGCTGAATAGTATGGATTTAAAGAGGGGGNAAAAAAAGATTACAGTGCAAATGTACTGATAAAGATCAAAAGATCCAAAATGATTTGGAATAACATTTTTTTTAAATGGTTTAAAAAAATGTTCCATCGAACAAAATATTTCTATAATATACAAAACAATCCCTGGTCTGGTTCCAATATTGAAATTATGTAAACAGAACACGGAACCTAACCCTGTTACATTTTAAGCTTCCTTCCTACAAGGTTTTATATGTCCTCCTAGTTTTCATTAAAAAGTTTTAATGCAACCAACATCTGCCTGGTAAACATTGTTTTCATTATATGGAGGGAGGGAAGGAAAAGGGAAGGGGAAGGAAGGGAAGGGAAGGGAAGGGAAGGGAAGGGAAGGGGAAGGGCAAGGGCAAAGCTCTAAAAATCAAAATTTGTTTTCTTGTAAAGGCGAACAGACCCCGTAACCCTGAAGACGAACTCTAGGATATCCAAGTCACCCTGGGCAGCGTAGAAATCTGAACCTCCGTCTGTAGCCTCAAGAGCCACAAGGTGTCCAAACTCGTCAAAATTCCTGATATCATTGTCGCCGCCTCAGGAACCCAGGCCAATGTGACAAATATTACAATTCAGTGTCGCTCTTGACCTAAATGTCCCCTGGATCCGTTCTTCATGCTGCCAGATAAATGCAAGTGAGTTGATTCCCAGATTCTTAAACTCCAGGATGCTCCGGACTCTGTTCCCCACGGAGAGATGCCGAGGCACGTTCAACTCTTCCGTGAGAGGTAAATGTTGATATTTTACAGCTGTAATACAAACATTTAAGCAGTGCTTTGGATCCAGATCCGGATCCGTTGGATCCGCTAGATTTTGGCTTCCTGGATCCGGATCCTCAAAAATATGAGGATCCCCGGATCCAAGGGGTAAAATATCAACCAAAAACTGCAAAAAAAACCCTTTTTTATTCCTAAAACCCAAATCTGAAATTTTGAAGAAAAAAAAGATTATAAAATTTCCCTCATTTTTGAATGGTTCATCAAGTTTTAGGATAAAAATAAGCAAAGATGAAGAATTCCTGAAATACGTTTATACTCAAGCAATCAACCAACTCTTGAATTTGTTAAGCTGAAAGGGGAAATAAGCCAAGTACCAGAATACGATAAAGTTATTGAACATGGTCATGTCCTTCCATCACGTTCATCTCCAGCTGGTTCAAGACCAAGATTTAGTCAAAATTCCACCACTCATTATCCTACTTTTTTCTATCAAGACCCATTCGAACCAAGGTTATCAAGTTCAGCTACCTTGCCTTAAACCCTCTGGATGCTACTAAGCACAAGTGGTTTATTCCAAAAGATTACCGACTGTCCAATGAAAAAATCAACCAGAGAGGAAGTATCCAAATCAACGGTGATCTTACTAGAAGGAATTATAAATTGATAGCTGCCCTGAGAGTTGAAGCAAAGAAGGAGGTGGTGCACAAAGTCTGGACAACTCTCAACGGGAAGATTATGTACGCCAGTGATCCAGAAAGGAAGAACACAAAAATCATGAACTCTCTATTTCAGAAATATTAAATTTCAACTATTAAATTAATACTGGTAAATGTGTTACTGAAATTAAGTACTTAAATTGAAAACTTTGCACTAATCCTAAGTATTGCATCTTTTCGCACGGTTTGCTTAAATATGTAAACTTGAGATATTATGTACTTTTTTCAATTTCTCTTCTGATTTCTTTCCAAACCAAAGATTAATTGTCTATTTTTTCTAACAAAACCCATTTCTATTTGAGCATGTTTATCAATATGCCACACAGTTTTCCCCATCGCTTACACAATTCCATCCTCTTCCTATCCTATCTCCTTTCAACCCTTTTTGGTGGATTACATGCATATTTCAACAAAGATATTGCAATTTTATCATTTCTAAGTTGAATAAAACACGACCACGGTGATCTTGAAGATGTGAAAAATTATATAGGTTCCCTTTTAAAAAAAGAGCAATATACTCTTAATTACAATGATTATATAGATCAAACAAATATGGGTCCCGATTTATTTTCAAACATTGTACATACCAAAGTGAAAACAATTTTGTATCAAACATAAGATTTTTTAGCGGATTAAATGTCCTCAGTTTAAACATTCAAAGTTTGCCATCAAAATTTGAGGAATTGAAAATATTTCTTGATAGAATCGAAAAATCAGGAGGTAATGTATCAGTTATAGTTGTACAAGAAATATGGGATGTCTCTATACCTAACTGATTCTTTATCAAAGATTTCGAACTATCTACTAATAAACGATAAACATCAAAAGGGGCAGGGGTTACAATATATTGTAAAAAAGACTTGAATTCAAAATTGGATCTTATTACAGATCTAACAAATATTTCAGTAATAATAATTCTTTAAATCACTTAGAACCATTTTTAATGAGTTATTATCTTTTTTAGAATTGTGCAATAACAGCAATTGCAAATCTTATATATTTTCTCAAGACACTAACATAGATCTTATGCAAAACAATGATGTTGTCAGTAAGTATACTAAGCATATATTATCTTCAAGCGTTTTCCCTTTAGATTTTGCGGCCTTGTGATATGTAAATATACAAAGTTTTGCACTTCTAGACCATATTATAACTAATGATAACCCAAAAGATACAAACATTTTCCAAAATATCCTTTTTAATTTTAAACCATAATACTATTTCTACCAATTATTCTTGATTTAAAACACAACGAAAATTCATTCAAAAATCTCTAAAGGAACATGAATGATAATAATATAAAATCTTTCAAAACTGCGCTTGAAAAAGAAAAATGGAATAATGTATTTTTATCTCAAACTGCAGAGATGGCGGCAATATGGTTTAATCAAACCCGGTTTCTGAGTAGTCTTAATACGTTACAGTTAAATATAACCAAACATCTCCACCATCCTTAGTTGTAACCATAATGGTAGCATGATTATTAGTCAAAATTGGTCAGACATTATGCAGCTGGTTGATAATCATCAACAAGTACTCAGTATTTTTTTGACGTTACATTTGACATTATGGAATTTTCATTTTTCTCTTTTGAGCAACCATTTTGCATCATGATATTTTGAGTGTGATGTACGACCTTAACATTAGATCAGCTGAGAAAATGGCGTGATGTGACCAAACTTTTTAAGAAGCTTGCATTAAACCCTTGAATTCTTGATGAGAGAGTCAAATATAATTGCAATTATAAAGCTATGCAAGGGAGGTCTGAACCTTACAGTATATTTGCTTTGCAGACTTATCGGATTTCTACAAATATCATAATATGTAACAAAAATACTTGATTTTATAAACTTAGATTGTACTAATTTAGTAAATGTTAATTTAATTATTCGAATAACACGTTAAATTTCATTTAATACAAACTTAAACTTCATGTAATTGTTAAATTGTCAAAATTGTTTAGAATTGTTTAGATTGTTCAGAATAAATCCTATATAACTAGAACATTTTATTTGTGTCTTTTGTGTGATCTTGTATCTGTTTGCAATTTTATGTATTCAAAAAACATGAAAACTGCTATACCTCCCATACCTATCTGATCCACTTTTTTGTGGTAGCTCACAATGAAAGGGAAGTCTAGTTAATGTAAATGGATATAAACACTGTCATTCTTTTCTGATATTAGTAAAGGACTGAGTTGAAACTTTTGGATGGATAATATTCTTTAGTGCAGGGACTTGCTGAACTATCTACCGCCAGTCCCCGGTTCAAATCCTAAATTCCTGAATCACTTCAATTAACCACCTATTGCTCACACTGCTAGAAACTCATTGCGGAAATTCGCACAGAAAGTGCGATCTATCGCATTGTCCCCATACCGTTGCGATCTATCGCACATAATGTTATTTAATCTCATGTGAGATGGAAAGTAAATTCTGTGCGAAGTATCTCACATCTTGATTGTAAATCTCACACACAGTCCAGCCCGTGTGCGCTACTTCGCACACACAGTGAGGGGGCTGTGTAATTTTGTGCGGTTTTTCTCACCTCCAGGACTGCATGTGAGTTATACCGCACAGGGGCCCTGCTCCTGTGCGTAGGCACGCACAGGGGCCTGGCTCCTGTGAATGATAGCTCACAAGGGCAGGGCTCAAATAACATACAGTAAATTTAAAAATTCATTGAAATACTCCATATTTAATAACATGAAATACCATGCATTTGATATTTAATTTAAAATATAACTATAATTAAATTGTGATTTGAAAATCAAATAAATAATATAAAATGAGATGCAGTGGTAGGCGATAATATCAAGATAATGGAGACGATTTTTTAATTCGAGTTTTATTGTTATCAAGCTTTTTTTCTGAATTTCAAGGTTACATGTAATTAAAGAGAAGTCGTTTAAAAGCCTGTTATAAAGCTCGATATAAATTAAAATTTAAACCATTGTCTTGGTATTATCGCACCACTGTATTATTTTACAAGTACAACACTTTTTATTCATGCTGATGATGATTGATGATAACTTGTTTTACCCGCAAATGTGATATTTGTTAGGAAATAAAGCAACTAACAACTAACGCATTCACTGAAAAAACTTCGTTTTTATCTTCTTTATATGTCAGTGGTGGAGATCGGCCAGTTCTCTTGATAATTGTTGAGCGATTTAAAATTCGGTGATGTTGATGGACCAAACCTCTGTAGAGTAAAAAAGAAAATTTAAATTTAACTCTAGAATATATTTTACTGATATTTAAGATATGCTTGTTATAAATTTAACCCGACAGTATATTTTACTGATTAAAGATATGCGTGTTATATATATGTTATATATGTTATAAATTTAACTTTTGAATATATTTCACTGATTTAAGATAAATGTGTTATATATATGTTATAAATTTAACTCTAGAATATATTTTACTGATTTAAGACAAATGTGTTATAAATATATATGTTATAAATTTAATTCTAGAATATATTTTACTGATTTAAGATAAATGTTATAAATATATAAGTTGACAATATATTTTATGATTAAAGATAAATGGTGTTATAAATATTTATATTTTAAATTCAATTCTAGAATATATTTTAGTGATTAAGATAAGCATGTTATAAACATATCTGTTATAAATTTAACTCGACAATATATTTTACTGATTTAAGATATGCTTGATATAAATAAATATGTTATAAATTTAACTCCAGAATATATTTTACTGATTTTAGATGAATGGTGTTATAAATAGGTATGTTCTAATATTTATTTGACCCCAGAAATGAATTCCTCTTGCCCAATTACCTATAAATCGACATACAACATGTAAAATCTGTGCTAAGATGACCCATGATGTAACTTCCGGCTACTAGTGCGCTGGTCAGAATGCTCCAATATTTGTGTTGACCTCAGAAATTAATTACTCGAGCCCAATTACCTATAAATCGACATACAACATGTAAAATCTGGGCTAAGATGACCCATAATGCAACTGCCGGCTACAAGCGCGCCGGTCAGAAGGCTCCAATGTCCATTTTGACCACAGAAATTAATTCCTTGTCCCAATTTTGCTATAGTTTGATGTATCTCATGCTACTTTTATTCTGATTTAGGTCAAACTTAGCAAATAAGTATTCAAAAATATTTTCTTTTATTGCGCGCGCGCGCGGACATTTAAGGCTTTGGAGGTGAATCTTTTGAGCGCATATTTTTTTAAGAGTATTAGGATAACTGTTCAAGTGCAATTAATGAAGTTAGGATTGATTTACTGTCAAAAAAGTCGATTTTTTCACAAAAAGCGCGTACGCGCGCACTTTTGCTCAGATCCGTTCAAAACCAAAAAATGCATGTAATATACATAATTCTGAGTTTGCATGCAAAAAATCAGCCTCCTAGGACATGTTAAGTTATGTTTATACACTGTTAAAATTTCCCGGAGATTAATACGTTTCGTGCCCCCCCTTTTAACTCTAGAATATATTCTACTGATTTCAGATATAAATTTAACTCTAGCATATATTTTACTGATTTAAGATAAACATGTTATAAATATATTTGTTATAAATTCAACTCTAGAATATATTCTACGGATTAAAGATATATGTGTTAAAATTTTATGTTATAAATTCAACCCTAGAATATATTCTACTGATCAAAGATATATGGGTTAAAATTTTATATGTTATAAATTCAACTCTATAGAATATATTCTACTGATTAAAGATATATGTGTTAAAATTTTATATGTTACAAATTCAACTCTATAGAATATATTCTACTGATTAAAGATATATGTGTTAAAAATTTACTCTAGAATATATTTTACTGATTTAAGATATACGCGGCGTGTTATAAATATATATGATTTTTCTCTTAGTCATCCTCGTACCTAAAAAGTATAATTTTCTGGTTAATTTATCATGGGTTGGATCAAGAGAATGAATTGGATGAGGCTGGATAGAATAAGGATGAGTTAAATAAGAATGGACTGGCTGCAGTGAGAATATATGAGATGAGGCTGGATAGAATAAGGATGAGTTAAATAAGAATGAACTGGCTGGATGAGAATATATGAGATGAGGCTGGATAGAATAAGGATGAGTTATATAAGAATGGACTGGCTGGATGAGAATATATGAGACCAGGCTGGATAGAATAAGGATGAGTTAAATAAGAATGGACTGGCCGGATGAGAATATATGTGATAAGGCTGGGCCGGTTGAATAAGAATGGATTGGAAAAGACTATATGGGATGAGGCTAGATAAGATTAAGATGGATTGGATAAGAATGGATTGGATATAAATGGATTGGATAAGAGTGGATTGGATAAGAATGGATTGGATAAGAATGGATTGGATAAGAATGGATTGGATAAGAATGGATTGGATAAGAATGGATTGGATAAGAATGGATTGGATAAGAATGGATTGGATAAGAATGGATTGGATAAGAATGGATTGGATAAGAATGGATTGGATAAGAATGGATTGGATAAGAATGGATTGGATAAGAATGGATTGGATAAGAATGGATTGGATAAGAATGGATTGGATAAGAATGGATTGGATAAGAATGGATTGGATAAGAATGGATTGGATAAGAATGGATTGGATAAGAATGGATTGGAAAAGAATATATGGGATGAGGCTAGATTAGGATGGAGAAGATGTTCAATGGAATGTTGTGAATAGGAAAATGAATAGAGAGAGAGTTTACCTGCCCTACCCGTTCTGCATAGCTCAGTTCTGGTTTGGTTTCTAAACTAGAAAGTCATGAGTAGGACCGCTCTTCATTCGTGAATTTTAATGTATCCTTTTTACATCTCTCTAAAACACACCCAAATGCATTTCATTCTCTTAAAAACACATAAATTAAACACAACCAACTACATTACAATCTTTTATCGACACATTCTTGACTTCAGTACGATCTCTTTAAAACACACTGAATTGCAGTAATATCTCTATAAAACACAACCAACTGCAATACAATCTGTTATCAACACATTCTTGGCTGCAGTACGATCTCTTCAAAACACATTTAGTTAAGGTAGTATCTCTATAAAACACAACCAACTGCGATGCAATCTCTTTGAAACACACCCAATTGAAGTAATATTTTTATGTAAAATACAACCTACTGCATTAGGATCTTTTTAAAGGTTAAACACATTCAATTAGATCTTATGTTTTTTTTAAAGCATAACTCCTCTATTCAAAGTCAAAACTGGAAAAAAACTACGAAGTTGGACCAGGAATTTCGAATAAATATGACCTTCTCCTTCTGTATAATAAAACATCAAACTGCAGTAATATCTCCGTAAATGATAAAAAAAAAAAAACAATTAACTGTATATCGTAGAAACTAGTCAAATCTGCTGCTTACAACTTCTATGTAACACGTCTATAAGACAGTACGAACAGAGGTGTTAACCTGCAGAAAAATCCATCTTATTTATATCAATATTTTGAAAAAAAATTTATAAGGTTTTTTAAAAAATCGATGTAAAATATCATTTAAACAACGTTCAACTGTTTACAAAAAATACAGTAATTAAATGATTTTAATGAAAGATATGATGATAATGATAACGAATTAAAAGAAAATCAACCTTTAAATAATAAATAAAAATTCTAATTGTAAAAACACTCAGAGACATTTAAACCATATGAATTATTGCCTAAATGTTTCCCATCGTTATCATCTGATTGAAATACTAAAAATTAGTTTTTATTCTGTGATCGTTAAAACAATCGATAACTGTTTTTCCAAAAATATATTGCTTATAGTATATACATAGTGCTTAGTTCATGCATAAGCGATGTTTTAGGGAAAAATGAATCAATTGGAAATGTCAGGAAAAGTTTCTTTTTTAACAGGTCAGCAAAATATTTCACAACATTTACAACAAATTTACTCTTATATATATACTCCAAGAGGAGGGGGAGATTTAGAACGTACTCTAGTATAAGCATACTCTAGGAAGGGGGAGATTTAGAACGTACTCTAATATGTATATATAATCTAGGTGGAGGGGAGGTTTAGGACGTACTCTAGTATAAACAAACTCGAGGAGGGGGAGATTTAGAACGTACTCTAATATGTATATATACTCTAGGAGGAGTGGGAGGTTTAGGACGTTCTCTAGTATAAACAAACTCTAGGAAGGGGAGATTTAGAACATACTCTAATATGTATATATACTCTAGGAGGAGGGGGAGGTTTAGGACGTACTCTAATATGTATATACTCTAGGCGGAGGGGAGGTTTAGGACGTACTCTAATATGTATATATACTCTAGGAGGAGAGGGAGGTTTATGACGTACTCTAGTATAAACATACTCTAGGAGGAGAGGGAGGTTTAGGACGTACTCTAATATGTATACATAATCTAGGAGGAGGAGGAGGGTTAGGACGTGCTCTAGCTTCTCTCCTTATAACCAGAGGTTCGGCAGTATTTCTTTGTGATAGGTAAGTTATAGGTATTTTTATTATTTTTATTATTATTATAATTATCAGGTTTACTATATTTTTTTCTTTCATTTTTTAACATTTTCAGAATTGCATCAAAACAGATAATTTCAATTTAAACGTTTAAACACCATAAAAAGGTTTAAAGGGGCTGTAAAGGAAAAGGAAAGGGGGTATAGGCTGAAACCTGAGAATCTCAGGCGTTTAACGATATAATTAAGACATCTATCTGATGTTCCTGTCGCGAGAAATTAATATAAAACTGTGTCAAAATTATACAAAAATCTATATATATGAAATTTTGTATAAAAGTTGCAGATTTAAACAGATCATATTCAGCAAATACGCAAACAATCTGAAAACGACTATATCCCAAAGAAACCTTTACAGTCCCTTTAAGTAGTCGGTTTTTTAAATAACAAAATTATTCAAATCATGAAGATTGATATATATACTGTTAAAGAATAATGAGATTATTGATTTTAAGAATTCAGATAATTTGCTGATTGAAACAACTGGTGAAATATTACGCCATAATCTAAACCTAAAAATGTCTCATCCTAACGTTTTTCTCTATAATAATGTACTTTCAGCTCAACTGCCATGTCTAAGAAATTTTTTTTAAAAGAGATTTTTTGTCCCCAGGACATGATCAGGTTGTTACGATCAAATCTCGGATTTTTTTCTATTGCGAAAGTTTGGTGTTGTCTGGGTTTTTATATTGATCTACCAGGGGTTGTAATCTGGCAGCACATTCATCCATCCACGCTTCATTCATTCTGAGAAGAGGGTTGACAAGATTCCAGCTGCCTAAGATTCTTCTTAGGCCTGAGAATATAGAGTGCAGGAATCCTTCTGATATATTGGAATGAGGTCCGGGTGCCGTACTGATAGGAAACATCACACTCATTGCTCCCTAACATCTGTAAGCCCGGATTGGATACCCCCAGGTACCTATAGCTGGCAACCATAGATTCTCCCTGCTTGTCCACCATTCCTCTCTTCATCATCATTCACTTGGATCAATCTCACTTGAAGCTTCTTTCTTGTTGAGTAGAAAGCACGCACCCTTTCGCTGCGAGAGTTGTTGACAGCCGCCCCTCTGTCCTCCTACATCCGTCAGGTGGTCATAACTGCTAAACCAGATGTCGGCTTCAGATGTTTTTGAAACCACAGGTTTGTGTGGAGTACGGGAATCGAACCCGTGAACACCAGTCTGGACACCAATCCAGTTACTGGCTGTGGACACGTGTGCTTAACTTCAGTGATCTAACGAGAACTGGTGTTGCACACTCTCCACCCCACCCCACCAAAAGAAATTGATGCAAAATTTCGAAACACTTCGGAAATTCTTTTTTAAATCCAAAGTTTGAAAGTGAAGATTCTCCGACCATCTAAAGACTAATTTGTACATCTAAATCACCATGAATAAAAATTAATTATTTCATATTTATAAAATCTCACTGAACTAAAGAATTGAGAAATGTGAAAATGCGCGAAACAACTCATGTTCCCAGAAATAATCTGCACAAAAATGAACCAGATAGAAAATACAAATAAATACGACACCATTTGCATGTTACCAAGAAATCAAATCAAGTAGTTAAAATAACGAGCTATAATTAGCACCATTATTTCAGTACTTTTTCCCATAGAAACATAAAATACATGCAAACTTAATGAATACAAAGTGACACTGAACAATTTATCAAATTTATAATATTGTTATAAAATGCAATGAATGTAACAGGAACTCCCAAAAACATAAGTAAAACACCCTCGAACAGTACTGCACTGGGAGCACAGCTTTGTTTACGTTCCTCAACAAATATTGAAATATGGAAATTCCTTTTACATTCCTTTTTAATGTATGTGGATAAAAAAAATTAAATAATACCTTCAAGTTATTTTTAAAAAGTATGTATTCGCAAAAAACTTTCACGGTCCGAAACAAAATTAAATATTGCTTTCTATCGTACTACTCTTAGAATTAGAATAATAAAATACATAATTACACGCCACAAGCTCTTATTTCTCATTCCTATAAATCTTTACAACCTGATAGATGTATAACTTTGATATTTCAAACTTAAATTATTTATCAACAGAATCATAGTTTCAAATATGGTCTACGACCTTGGGTTGCAAAAATATAGGGATTTGTGTTAAAGATTAATTTTTAATTGATTTGTTTAAAGGAGTTCTGAAGATCTGGAGAAAGTAGTTGGAGACCTGAAAAGGGAGTTTCCTGAAGGAAAAGTTGGGCTTTCCCCGCTAGATGTCAGGTAATTTGGTAAAGCACTTTTAAAAACTTTCAGGGGTGTTGTCAGGAATTGGTCAGGGGCCGGGGGGCTTAAATTTTTCTTTCTTTCCAGAGCGGGGGGGGGGGGCTCAGCACGCCTCTGAAAACTGTGAACGGAAAAGATATTGACAGTATCTATTTTTCTTCAAGATATCTTCCTCATTGTTACTCACATAAAGGTTTCATTGGTAACCTCGTGCATCGGACTTTTGTCGTGAACGATTTAGGAAAAAATCTCCTTTTAGTTTTTTGGTCGTTTTTGGCGTATATTTTCTCTCAATATCAAAATGAGGCATGGTGTAAAAAAATGTTTAGAATAAATAATTTTGAAAATATTTCCTTTTCTTTAACCTTGCCAGATTTTGAAGATCTTCAGAAAAATATATGCAAAAATAATTGCAGATCCCTACCTGGCTGGGATAAAGCGTGGGATGAATGTGTTGACCAGCTTGGTTCACCAGCTGTAGTAATAAATATAGCTGGGGTCAAGGGAGAGGAGGACTGGGAGCAAACTTATGATGTTAATATTGTAAGTATTGTTTATTATATATTTTTTTAACATTTAAATGGACTGCAAGCGTAATTTCTAGTGGCCTCCATGCAAAGATGTCAATGCCCGATTTACAACGGTACCCTTAAAAGCTTTGTCTGATCAAGTATAAATTTAAACTGTTTATTTTCATGGGAATTCAGTGATGAATTCAAGATAGTCTGATTTTATTAGCTATAATCTAATTATGTCTGCTAGAGATTATTTTATGAGAACGGTAAATATCTGCAATGATGTGTCTGTAATCTTTCTGAAAGATGAACAGTGATATAAACATAGCAGATGAAAATCCTTCGGATTAGAGCTTTCATGGTATAGACATCACGATACTAAATCAAAAAATAATTTTAAAAAGACGATATCGAACTCAAAAAGACGATATCGAACTCATCACTTAATTCCCATGTTTATTGGGACACCCTGTATGATAAGCTAATGGCTTTTCCACGGGTAGCCGTAGTACATTTGAATTTCCGAGCCGGGTCAACCTTTCCGGTCCCAGTTTGTACTGTAACTAGCTCTATGGACAGGACTAGCCGGTGCAACAAGGTTGACACGGTCAGACTTTATGCTTCATATAGGTTGAATTTACTTTTACTAAAGGGGCAGATTTGCTAATTTCCATTTTTCTTTTTCGAGATAATCAACAAATCATTTTTTTATTTCACGTTGTTTAGAAAGGTGTGCACAACGGTATCGTTACAAGCCACAAGTATTTATCCCGTGAAACCGGGGGGTCTGGGGGTATTGTTGTTAATATCTCATCAACAGCAGGGGTCACGTGTATAGGTAAATAAATAATATTTAGTGAGACCCAAAAAACTGTGGAATAGGAAGACGACTTTTTGTCCAATGAACATATGAAACACAACAGTTGTATTGTGGACACACAAAGATCTATTTCACTTTATAAGTATCAAATACACAACAAAAATTGCTTTCAAATAAATGTCGTCTTTATATTCCGTATTTTTTTGGTCCCCCTTTTTAATTTACTCAATTCTTTTGAATTTTGATCCATTAATTCATACAGTGCAGTCTTAATATTCTTTTGAATTTAATTTTTCAAATCTTTAAGGTGACATGTTTGCTACTCCTGCCTACACTGCTTCCAAACACGCCGTATCTGCACTCACCAGAACATTTGGGGTCAGCCATTTTGATTGTTTCCGCCATTTTGATTGTTTTGGAACTTTGATTTCCCCGCCATAGCTCCTTTATTTTTCATGTTGATTTTTCATTAAATTTTGATTCAATTTTGATATTCATTATTCATAACATTTTTTAGCACCCTGGTGATCATGTTTATAAAAAGAAATAATACAGAAATTTTAAGAGAAATAATAATAATACTTAGATAAAATCCTATTTCAGCACAAGTTCTGGTATAACAGAACAGGTGTCTCTGTAATCGCTGTGGCTCCGTTCTACATAGATACTCCGTTTATCGGGGAATGGAAGGATTGGACTCCGGATACAGAAGCACAGAAGGAACTAGAAAAATCGGCGGCCGGTAAAAAAATACTAAGGTAAAACGTCAATTTAAAGCCAAGGAGACATCATTGATTTATTACAATCAAGGGCGTTCACAGGAAGGGGAACAAGGCCCCCCCTCCGCTGAGATTTTGAGGCAAAAATGTTTAAATTTGATAAAATAATGTTCTCAATTTGATTAATAGTATTGTACCCCGGCCTTTTTCAAGTTATGTTTTGATCATAATTTCATGTTTTACGAATTACGTTTCTAGTTCTTTAATCTATTTTCCAAATTCCTAGTTCTTTTTTTCCCTATCTTTTAACTTGCTTAATGTCCCAATTTTTGTTCCTATTCCTAACACTGTGTCTCTAGACCATAAATCCTTAAATTTTCAGAGTTTTTTGTTCCTATTTTCAGTATTTATTGTTCCTATTTTCAGAATTTTTTGTACCTAAAAAATCTCGCCCCCCCCCCCTGCTGAAATCCTATGTCCGCCCTTGATTACAATAAAGATATGATTGAATGCTTAGTTTCATATCGTAGAATTTTTTTGTTAATTTAGTAATATTTTCTTCCGGTCATTCTTAGAATTCGTTAGAAAACATTTTGATATTCTTTTTTAATTCTATTTGTGATTTTGCATAATTTTGATTAAAATTGAGTTTCTTTTATTATCCTTGGACCAGATCTAATGAATAGTGAGTCGTGGCTCAACTAATTCTCTTCAGCTTGAACTGACGCACAAGAGAAGTGGTTGAACTACGTCTGAGCGGTTTAACTGCTTATAGCATATTCATTAAATCTAGTTCTAGATATGATCCTTTGAAAATAATGTGTATAATTGCTTTCATGATTACAAATATCTATTGACTTTAGTCCTGGTGAAGCTGCTCTAAAGATTTTCAATACTTTTCGAGCCGAGTCTGGTTCAATCTGGTTACTGCGCTCTGGAATGTTTCCTCCTTTTAATATACCAGACTATAAACTTCCCCAGGTAGATATAAGGTGTTTTTCTTCATTTAATACCAGACTTCAGGTAGATACGGGTGTTTTTCTTCATTTAATACCAGAATACAGGGAGATGCAAGGTGTTTCCATCCTTTAATACCAGACTACAGGTAGATACAGGGTGTTTATCTTCATTTAATACCAGACTACAGGTAGATACGGGTGTTTTTCTTCATTTGATACCAGAATACAGGTAGATGCAAGGTGTTTTCATCCTCTAATACCAGACTACAGGTAGATACGGGTGTTTTTCTTTATTTAATACCAGAATACAGGGAGTTGCAAGGTGTTTCCATCCTTTAATACCAGACTACAGGTAGATATAGGGTGTTTATCTTCATTTAATACCAGACTACAGGTAGATACAGGGTGTTTCCTTCATTTAATACCAGAATACAGGTAAATACAAGGTGTTTCCTTTATTTAATACCAGACTACAGGGAGATACAGGGTGTTTCCTTTCTTAAATACCAGACTACAAGTCATGCCTTTATATTATTACAGGGTTACCCACAAAGCATGAGACTGTAAAGACGATCCACAACTCTAAAAATATGACGATTTGAAACTTGATTTTTGGTTTCTGCAATTATTTGAGTATTTTGATGGTTTTCTAAATGATAAAAAAGCCAGTTTTGACCTGAAAGAAACTCTGATTGCAAGAAAACAGACTAGACAAATTCCGTAAAATCGTCTCTGAAGTCTCATCCTTTGTGAGTATCTCTGTATACGAAGGCACATAAGATATAAATGTCTAAACTCCCTTAAATCTTTAATTTTTCAGCCTAAAATCCTGTGATGACAGAAGCAAACTCCCAGTTCCGGAAATATTGTCATAGCATGAAGAACAAGTGCCATTTTATTTATATATTTATCTAGTTTTATATGTTAACTATTGAAGCTTTAAATATATACTATACATAACAATGTTCTGCAAAATGCTAAGTACGTGTAGAAAGAATAAGAGTAGTTAAAAATATAAGAAAAAATTTGGAAAAATGTTATCAAAATAAAAAAGAATACATCTTGTTTCTAACCCATGTTCACCCATCACATTTCACTATACAGAGGGGAAGGTTAATTACTGGTACGACTGTGTGATCTCGTCTAATTTGGTTACCAATAAGAAACTAAAAATATTTTTTCTTCTAAATACCTCTGCAATAAAAGGGGTTGACTGAAAACATGTAAGATCTCAATCTGACGTAAAAGGAATTGAGTTTTTACCACGAACTCTTTATTATTATTTTCCAAGCCTTTTATATTTAAAACCCGATCATGCAATGCCATATGAACTCAGATATTGCAAACTATGTTAGATCAAATAATCTAAGTTTTATTTATCAAGCCTTTTATATTTAAAACCCGATCATGCAATGCCATAGGAACTCAGATATTGCAAACTATGAATTTGTTAGATCAAATAATCTAAGTTTTATTTATCAAAACTTTATTCACATCATTAGTTTGCAAAGATAAAGCTATTAGAAGATTTGAGTTTGTGGCAAAGAATCAATTTTAATCACATTTAATAACATATATACAATGAGAACTAGAAAATGAACACAAACATAAGACACGTCAATTGGACAAAGTGCACTGTGCAGGTGCACAAACAAACAATTTCAGTAATGTTTCAGTTACAGAGTGTCCCACAAAACTTGACAGTAACAAGACAAATTGATCGTTGTCTTTGAAGTTTGAATTTATCTGTGACATTCAGTCGACCAAACTACTTTCACATGTTTGATTCTTGAAACAATAATCACAGGTAATCCTCCTAGTCCTGGCATTTCCAAAATGTTTTCTATCTTTTTGTTGTCAACATTACCGGAGATATTGAGAATTGAGATCTAACTGGATCGAGTCTAATTGTGAAAAGATGAAGAATATCAGTCGGAAACTAGTGTCAGTTCTCGAGGCTTGTAGGAACTCTGCAGTGGCGAAGGGGCTCAACCCCTTGCAAGGTAAATTTTACTGTTCTCCTAAGGATTCATTTTAATTAAAATGAGCGGTATTTTAATATGATATAGCAGCCTAAGAGATATAAAGCTTACCGTTAGCATTCTCTAATAATACTCAGAGATTGGTTGAAGCCATCGAGGTAGAGGTTACTCAGTTCGATATCATGTGATCCCTGACAACAGCTGATCCCTGACAACAGCTGATCCCTGACAAAATGTGATCCCTGACAGCAGCTGATCCCTGACAGCAGCTGATCCCTGACAACATGTGATCCCTGACAGAAGCTGATCCCTGACACTAGCTGATCCCTGACGGAAGCTGATCCCTGACAGCAGCTGATCCCTGACAACATGTGATCCCTGACAACAGCTGATCCCTGACAACAGCTGATCCCTGACAACAGCTGATCCCTGACAAAATGTGATCCCTGACAACAGCTGATCCCTGACAGCAGCTGATCCCTGACAGCAGCTGATCCCTGACAACAGCTAATCTTTGACTACACAGAACTTAAATATTTTTTTATTTCAGTGTAGCTTCCATTAATTATAAGTATTCAACGAAATTGGATACATGATTGAGTTACAAAAAAATAAATTGTATTTGGTTAACTCTCTTTATTGATGATTGAACGGAAGAGTTTTATAGCAAACTCTTTAAATAATACAAAAATATACAATTGAATAGCATGCAAAAAATATACAATTGAATAGCATGCAAAAAATATACAATTGAATAGCATGCAGAAAATTAAAATATAATTTTAAAGAGAAGTACATTTTTATAAGACTAAGAGTAACCTTTGGATTTTGGAATTGGAGAGGAAAGTTTCTAAAAATGATTCTCTGAAGGGATTGTTCAGGTACTTTGGGTATTGTGGGAGGTACCAATTATGGAACAGATGATTCTATTAATACGTAAAAATCTTTAAAACTTATTTAAATTGTTATTTGTTCGTTTTGTCAAAAAAATCTTAATGAGATTAAAATTATATTCTCCGTTTCCAAACCCATCTTTGGTTTGGGTTCCCGTCACACTTCTTTATCTCCAGGTTCTGATTGAGTCCACTATACTCAACACAAGCCTGGAGAAGGATGGATTTGTTTTAGTTAGTTTATAAATATTCAAGGTTTTTTTTTGGTTTTAAGTGGCTTGACAAGACTCCCAAGATATTTACCATAACTAAATTTTAAATATATTACCAGCTTGGTAAACCAGCTTTCGAAATCTAAACATTCTCTCACAAAGTCAACTGCAATCTTAAATTAGAATGTTTCAAATATAGCGAAGACTAGTAGGCTGTTCTAACAAGATCCCATATCAAAATTTGAGACATGTGAACCTCTAGCGTAAGCGGTTCATGAGTAAAAAAATAGTACTTAAAAATACGAGTTTGAGGAGAGTGACATTACATTAAGCATACAGTGAGAACCATAAAACTCTGGAATAGGAAGATGACTTTTAGACTCAAGTTATTACTTTGAATAGTCCAATAAACATTTGACACGGCAAAAGTGCAGTGTAAACAGACCCATTTCACTCAATAAATGATTTAATGAGTTTAGTATAACTATTTGCTTTGTAAACGCATCAATTTGACTTAATTATTGCTTTAAAGGAATTGAGTTTTGCCACACACACGCATTTTCTAACCCCTATGTCTTTGCAACCATATGGTGTAAACCTTTTAAATTTAAACCTTGACTATTTGATCTAACAGAATTAATAGTTTGAAATATCAAAGGTCTAGGAGAACGGGTTGCAAAGTTATAGGAATTGGAAAATCAGAGTTTTTGGCAAAAACTCAAATCCTTTGTCTTCCTAGCTCACAGTTGTCTGGCTCTTACTGTACAATTTTGAAATATGATCAAAATCTCAGATGCCATATCTTCCCTTGAGATCTTTATTTTCAGACTCATTCTGATCCTCCTCCTCCTCCTCCTTCTCCGGTTTCATTGTTAGCATCATGGATTTCAGTTCAGGGTCATAACTAAACATATTAGAATAATATACATTTATATCGTCCAAAAAGTTTTAAATGGTATCGTTGTGAATTGCAGGTCTGCTCCCTTTTTTTACTTAGAATTACAATAACCGCCCCTTTAATGATGTATAATTGTATAACCTGAGTCCTAATTTAATGATTTTGATCCGCTTAAATTTTTAGCCGCGGCTCAAATTCTTTAAATTCGGCCTCTGACCTCCATTTCTCCTCTTGACCTTTCTCACAGAAGCCTATTTGAAGACCAGGTTTTCCATTCTCTAGAACCTCGAGGACAAGGCATCGTTCACCTAGGCCTAGCCTCCCATCCTGATAGAAGACGTTTGAATCAGTGGTTTAAATACACGGTACAGGGTGTACCAAGAAACATGGAAATTAAAACTTTTTAGAGTAAGAACAAGTAAACATATGTAGTTTATTCTAAATATGTAAATAAACATATATTTATATCCAGGAGTAGTATGAGGAAGAAGACTCACTGGTTCATGGATTCCGGTTTTCCTGTTCCTTGATTTCCCTCATAATTCTCAAGCATTCTTAACTTTCGTTTAGACTCGAATTATTGCTGCTACAATATTTTGATTTTCTTTTATCTACTTAATAAAGGACTTTAAGCAACCTACCACGCAAAATTGGCCACACTGGATTCTCAACGGGAGCCTTGAAACATTTATCTGTTAAATAATGTAAAGATATTGTCATTTTTCTTGGTTTAAAATTGAAATCAACCAGTTTTTAAAATTCATACTCAATCAGACAACGCTTTTAAGGAAACCGTTGTGAATCGGGCATTGTCATCTTTCCATGGAGGGTCACATAAAATTACGCTTACAGTCCCTATGAACTGACCTTGCTAAGTCTAAAAACTGGGTCTGATTGAGAAAGAACTGATTGAATGGTACACGGAGGATCCTGAAAAAAAGACTTTTCCGGTTTTGTGTACTCTAGAAGACTATTCCAGTAATGTGTACTTTTGAAGTTTTTTTTAACATTTATTATTTTTGAAGACTATTTCAGTTAAGTGTACTGTAAAGACTATGCCCAGTAATGTGTACTTTAGAAGACTATTCCGGTAATGTGTACTTTTGAAGACTATTTCAGTTAAGTGTACGTTTAAAGACTTTTCCTGTAAAGTGTATTTTTGAAGACTTTTCCAGTTATGTGTACTTTTGAAGACTATTCCAGTTATGTGTATGAAAATTTATCCAGTTATGTGTACTTGACTTTTCTAGTTATGTGTACTTTTGAAGACTATTCCAGTTATGTGTATGAAAATTTATCCAGTTATGTGTACTTTTGCAGACTTTTCTAGTTATGCGTTCTTTTGAAGATTTTTCTAGTTATGTGTACATTTGAAAAATTTTCTAGTTATGTGGACTTTGAAGATTTTTCTAGTTATGTGTACTTTTGAAGGCTTTTCCAGTTATCTGTACTTTTAAAGATTTTTCTAGTTATGTGTACTTTTGAAGATTTTTCTAGTTATGTGTACTTTTAAAGGCTTTCCCAATTATCCGTACTTTTGAAGATTTTTCTAGTTATGTGTACTTTTGAAGATTTTCTAGTCATGTGTACTTTTGAAGATTTTTCTAGTTATGTGTACTTTTGAAGATTTTTATTATTTATGTGTACTTTTAAAGGCTTTCCCAATTATCTGTATTTTTAAAGATTTTTCCAGTCATGTGTACTTTTATAGACTTTCGCAGTTAAATGTACTTTTAAAGTTATTTGTACAGATATTAGGTATTTTCCCGAAGTGACAACTTCCCAAATATGAGGCCGAGCGCTGTAGCTAGGAGAGACTTGGGAAAAAGCCTTTGTGAAAGTATCTAACATCAAGTGTACGTGCTTATGAGGCCCATATTGGTTATGTGTGTTTTTAATGAATTAAATTGACTTACCCTACACTTGGGTCTCCAGTAAATATGATTATCATTCTCCAGTTGTATTGAACCCCATTCAAGGTTTGGAGAAGGCTTTAAAGTTCAAATATTAAAACATTAATTAATTAATTAATAAATATTAGTTAAAAGAATTGATTACTCGCCGTACCCTCTAATTTTATAATTGTATATCTTTGAACCTGTCTTTGGTAACCTTTGATTTTTAAACTTCAGTTTAGTGTAAAACTTCACCAAAAACTTGCCAGATAAAGGGATTAGAAAATTAGAGCTGGAGGCTTGTAATCAGTATATCCTGTATAAACGGAACTATAGCTTAGGCTAAGCTGTTTAAACGGAACTATACCTTCGGATAAGCTGTATAATCGGAACTACATCTTAGAATAAGTTGTTTAAACGGAACTATACCTAAGGATAAGCTGAGTAAACGGAACTATATCTTAGAATAAGCTGTGTAAACGGAACGATACCTTAGGATAAGCTGTGTAAACGGAACTATACCTTAGGATAAGCTGTGTAAACGGAACTATACCTTAGGATAAGATGTATAAACGGAACTATATCTCAGGATAAGCTGTTTAAACGGAACTATACCTTAGGATAAGCTGTTTAAACGGAACTATATCTTAGGATAAGCTGTGTAAACGGAACTATATCTTAGGATAAGCTGTTTAAGCGGAACTATATCTTAGAATAAGCTGTGTAAACGGAACTATATCTTAGGATAAGCTGAGTAAACGGAACTATATCTTAGCATAAGCTGTGTAAACGGAACAATACCTTAGGATAAGCTGTATAAACGGAACTTTACCTTAGAATAAGCTGTTTAAACGGAACTATATCTTAGGATAAGCTGTGTAAACGGAACTGTATCTTAGGATAAGCTGTATAAACGGAACTATACCTTAGGATAAGCTGTATAAACGGAACTATACCTTAGGATAAGCTGTGTAAACGGAACTATACCTTAGGATAAGCTGTGTAAACGGAACTATACCTTAGGATAAGCTGTGTAAACGGAACTATACCTTATGATAAGCTGTATAAACGGAACTGTATACCTTAGGATAAGCTGTGTAAACGGAACTAGCCACTTCCTTCATGAACCAGGAGAAGGGTTTGCAAGTTCGTCTGAAAATATTTTTCATAAGAGTCTTATGGGGCTTTAAAATATATTCTATCCAAAATAAACAAAAAAGAAGTTTAATATTTTTTGTGAATGAAGATTATAGACAAAGTATAAAAAAAAACATGTGAATTCAGAGTTACTATTCAGTGAATAAATGATTAATCCTCTCATTTTCCAGTTATCCCTCCAGGGAGGATACGATTACCACGGAATACCGAGGAATTAAGTTAATCCGTAGAACTGTAAAATATGGAGATCAATGTTGGATCTCGAACTCGAAATTAAAAAGTAGATCAAATTGACTTTTTAGTCACATAAAGATTGCTTATTATAAGGTTCCTATAGAAATCTTAAAAAATAAAAAGAAACTGAAGAAATGTTTTCCTATGTCCTTTACCTTAGTTTAAGTTGATCTTCTATATTACCATAGTCTAAATATTTGGCCATAGGTTGTCTAAATACATATATATAATAATAATCAATTTATTATTCAATCCTACACGATGTTTCATGGACTTGCTCCAATCATCAGTGAGGTCTGTATAATATATATATAACATGATCAGGTCAAAATTTTCTGCGGGACCTCACATGACCCCAGGGAAGGTTTATGGATGTTCAGAATTACAAAAATGTTTCTTTTAAAAATTTTATTGAGCAACAATCAAAAGTTGAAATAGAAGATGGGCGTGTGTACCCTGATAGTCTAGTATATATTATATTGTATCATTAGGTAACCTTGTATAGAAATATTCTTTGTGTTCTTCATCAAACCATGTTTCTACAACCCGTCTGTACATAATCGTTGTACAATAATCCACTCAGTAAAAAACCATGTTTTTACAACCTGTCTGTACATAATCGTTGTACAATAATCCACTCAGTCAAAACCATGTTTTTACAACCCGTCTGTACATAATCGTTTTACAATAATCCACTCAGTACAAAACCATGTTTCTACAACCCGTCTGTACATAATCTGTTACAATAATCAACTCAGTACAATAACATGTTTCTACAACCCAGCTGTACATAATCGTTGTACAAAAATCAACTCAGTACAAAACCATGTTTCTACAACCCGTCTGTACATAATCGTTGTACAATAATTCACTCAGTACAAAACCATGTTTTTAAACCAGTCTGTACATAATCGTTGTACAATAATCAACTCAGTACAATACCATGTTTCTACAACCCAGCTGTACATAATCGTTGTACAATAATCAACTCAGTACAAAACCATGTTTCTACAACCCGTCTGTACATAATCGTTGTACAATAATCAACTAAGTACAAAACCATTTTTCTACAACCCGTCTGTACATAATCGTTGTACAATAATCCACACAGACAAAAAATAAGTAAGCCTTCCTGCATTTTCTCCAACAATAGAATTTTTATTTTTTGTTCAACGTTATTTCCTGAGATTCGCAGCAACGATATTTTCACTGTGTTCTGCCCCAACTCCTTCCCCGAAATCATAAGGGACAAATTTCCTGAAAAACATACGAGTGAAGAAAATAGGATTTTAGTCAGAAATTTCTTAAAGATTATAATTATCCTGTTTCAAGAATTCACCTTCCCCACACCTTTTATTTATTCAAGGGTGTACAGTGATAACCAGAAAACTCTAGAATAGGAAGACGACTGTTAGAATCAAGTTATAACTTTAAAAAGTGCAATGGTCACGAGACACAGCAATTATGCTGTTCAAACAGATCTATTTCAATAAATTAGAAATTTAATAAATGGCTAGTGAAACTATTTGCTTTGTAATAGCATCCAATACACGCAAGTTTCGCTATAGTGTCGTCTTCCTATTCCATTGTTATCTGGTTATTACTGTATATGTTTTCTTTAAACATCCCCTTTACAATTAAGTAACAATTGTGACCATTTTGTAGCTATATTTTAGCAAAAAAAAGATTTGCGGAAGCAGGGGGNGGATAATTCATACTGCTCCCCACCCCAAACCTTTAACCCAGGATCATATCCTCCAACACTAAACAAAACATCCAGATCTTGAAGGATAATTCACACTGCTCCCCACCCCAAACCTTTAACCCAGGATCATATCCTCCAACACTAAACAAAACATCCAGATCTTGAAGGATAATTCACACTGCTCCCCACCCCAAACCTTTAACCCAGGATCATATCCTCCAACACTAAACGTCAAAGATACCAAACTGATCGATCCTTGAATTTTTTTGTGGTAACTTTTAAAGTCACAGGGAAGGGTTATGGCCGGTCTAACATTTTAAAAATTGCTAACGAAAATCCCGATTTTTGATGTTTATTTTTAATCCACAATTTTTTCATTGTTATTATCTTAAAATGTAAGGGCGCCAAGTGTCATTTAATCCTTTGTCAAACCAAATTATATAAAATAAACAAACTTTTATCTTGTAACCATAGATTACTTAACAATAACAGATAGGTCACTAGATTTCGTCTTTTCAAGATTTAGGGGTTTTTCGTTCACAATAACCCTGAGGCAGATGTCCAAAGGAGTTCCGCGCAAGCAGCGCGGCGTTGAATTACAAAACAGAGAGATAGCATGCGCTGCATGTGAAGAACTCCTTTGGCCTTCTGCCTCAGGGTTATTGTGAACGAAAAACCCCTCATTCTCAAAAAGACGACATCTAGTGTCCTATCGGTTATTGTTAATTAATCTATGCTGATAACTCTTCATTAATTAATAAATTTGACATGCTATAGTTTAAAACAAACCTGAGAAAATATTCTTTGTTAAAAGCAATTAATCCACCTCAAGAACAATATTTATATTTTTTTATTTATTTCAAAGATTTTTCCAGATTAAACTTTAGAGGAAAGGGTACGAGGAAAATGAGGAGAAGGATGAGTAGAAGGATGAGGAGAAAGATAAGGAGAAGTATGACTTATGAGGAGAAATATAAAGAGAAGGATGAGAAGAAAGATAAGGAAAAGGACGAGGGGAAGGATGACGAGAAGGATGAGGAGAAGGATGTGGAGAAGGATGAGGAAAAGGATGAGGAAAAGGATGAAGAGAAGGATGAGGAGAAGGATGGGGAGAAGGATTAGTAGAAGGATGAGGAAAGGATGAGGAGAAAGATAAGGAAAAGGACGAGGAGAAGGATGAGGATAAAGATGAGGAGAAAGATGAGGAGAAGGATGAGGAAAAGGATGAGGAGAAAGATAAGGGAAGGAGGAGGAGAAGGATGAGGAGAAGAATGAGGAAAAGGACGAGGAGAAGGTGTGGAGAAGGACGAGGAGAAGGATGAGGAGAAGGATGAGGAGAAGGATGAGGAGAAGGACGAGGAGAAGGATGAGGAGAAGGATGAGGAAAAGGACGAGGAGAAGGTGAGGTGAAGGACGAGGAGAAGGATAAGGAGAAGGACGAGGAGAAGGATAAGGAGAAGGATGAAAAGAAGGATGAGGAAAAGGACGAGGAGAAGGTGAGGAGAAGGATAAAGAGAATGATGAGGATAAGGATAAGAAATAAAATAGTTCCTGCATGAAGATGAGAAGGATGATGAGAAGAATAAGGATAAGGATAAGAAATAAAACAGTTCCTGCATGAAGAGGAGAAGGATGAAGACAAGGATGAGGATAAGGATAAGAAATAAAACAGTTCCTGCATGAAGAGATGAAGGATGAAGAGAAGAATAAGGATAAGGATAAGAAATAAAACAGTTCCTGCATGAAGAGATGAAGGATGAAGAGAAGAATAAGGATAAGGATAAGAAATAAAACAGTTCCTGCATGAAGAGGAGAAGGATGAAGAGAATGATGAGGAGAAGGATAAGAAATAAAACAGTTCCTGCATGAAGAGGAGAAGGATAAGGAGAAGTAAGGTTCTCCTGTGACTCTGCCAGAACAGGATGCAACTCCTGAGGGATAAAAATCATGAACCTACAACCCAAAGAAACTGATTATTCGCTACAAATTCTAATTTCGATACCCCCCACCTTGGTAACCTAATGTCGTAGATCTTTGATATTTCAAACTATGGATTCTAATAGATCTAGAAATTTCAAAGGTTTGCACCATTAGGTAACAAAACAAAAGTAACAATTGTATTATTTTAGAAACATAGCTCACTCAAATTTTAAGAATTAAGAATTTTATATAATATCATATTTATTTTTCCTAACTTGTTAAATATGAAATAACCGCATAATAATGGTTTTTATAATAATGGATAAAAAATGTATCACCTTATAAAGTAGTCCCCACTCCCAGATACCAATAGGTTTAGTTGATCTGGCATATACAGAGCGAGATGAGAAATCAGTATGATCTGAAACCAACGGAGAAAGGGTAGAGTAACCAAGCAATGGAAACTTTTGATGATTTAATGATTTGAATGGATTTATTCGAGTTTTAAGTATTTCTATCCCAGGATTTAACAAATATTTCATTGATCGAATTCGAAAAAATTTAATAAACTATAGGAACAGTTAGGGTACAGACCTATTGGATAAACTACAGGAACAGTTAAGGAACAGACCTATTGAATAAACTACAGGAACAGTTAAGGTACAGACCTATTGGATAAACTTTAGGGACAGTTAGGGTACAGACCTATTGGATAAACTATAGGAACAGTTAGGGTACAGACCTATTGGATAATCTATAGGAACAGTTAGGGTACAGGCCTGTTGAATAAACTATAGGAACAGTTAGGGTACAGACCTATTGAATAAACTATAGGAACAGTTAGGGTACAGACCTATTGAATAAACACTGGGAACAGTTAGGGTACAGACCTATTGAATAGACTATAGTAACAGTAAGGGTACAGACCTATTGGATAAACTATAGGAACAGTAAGGGTACAGACCTATTGGATAAACTATAGAAACAGTTAGGATACAGACCTATTGAATAAACTATAGAAACAGTTAGGGTACAGACCTATTGGATAAATTATAGGAACAGTTAGGGTACAGACCTATTGAATAAACTATAGGAACAGTTAGGGTACAGACCTATTGGATAAACTATAGGAACAGTTAGGGTACAGACCTATTGGATAAACTATTGGAACAGTTAGGGTACAGACCTATTGGATAATCTGTAGGAACAGTTAGGGTACAGACATGTTGAATAAACTATAGGAACACTTAGGTAACAGACCTATTGAATAGACTATAGTAACAGTTAGGGAACAGACCTATTGAATAAACTATAGTAACAGTTAGGGTACAGACCTATTGAATAGACTATAGTAACAGTTAGGGAACAGACCTATTGAATATTCTATAGTAACAGTTAGGGTACAGACCTATTGAATAAACTATAGTAACAGTTAGGGTACAGACCTATTGAATAAACACTGGGAACAGTTGGGTACAGACCTATTGGATAAACAATGGGAACAGTTGGGTACAGACCTATTGAATAAACACTGGGAACAGTTGGGTACAGACCTATTGGATAAACAATGGGAACAGTTAGAGTTGCTGGATCTCTAAGTATAGGTGTGAGTAGAGGAGGGAGCCAGTTCAAACCAACCTGTTTATCCAAATTCTTCAGATTCTTCTAAAGCCATTGAAAGATTATAACAATAGAATGTTTAAATAAAAGGATTTTTTAATTTAAAAACCTTTTTTCAAAACATTTAAAATAAAAACATGCATTACAAAACATTTTACCAATTATTTAAGCACAGTTAATATAATTTACGATTGACGGCAGTAACACTTTTAACTTCAATCAAGAAAACAACCATTTCTAGATATCTTAAACTTGTGGTTGCAAGGCCTCCATATTCAACTAAACTTCAGCCATAAATTTTCAGTTTTGAGACAGTAATATGAATATATCTCAATCCTCGCTAAAAAATAAAGCTTTTGTTTAGAATTATTTCCCTTAAAAAAAGAAGAGTAAAATATCCCCAAAAAATAATATTTGAAGAATATGGGATGCCTGCCTCGCAGTGTGCATCTAGAAAAACGACCACCTCTCCTGTCGCTTGGAGAACCCCAAGGTTCTTGCTGACGATGAGCCCCTCCCTCTTCTTATTCCTGGAGATCCTCACCTTGTTCGTCTTCTTTATCCAATCCTCCAGTTCAGATCCTAGATAAATCTTTAATAATATGTTTAATATGTACAAATAATTTAGTAGTTTACCTAAATGAGGAAATTCGTTGATATTACTGAAATCATCCACCAGAACGATTTCTTTTAACACTTTCTGCAAAAAAAAACCAGATTGTAAATATATACATTGGTCGGTGTTTGTATCAATACAATGAAAAGGACTTTTCTATTCAAGTTTTGATTTTTTACAAGCTTTTTGCAAAATTCCAAGTTTACAAGTAAACAAAGTGAAGCGGTTAATTGACAGCTTCTCTTTGTTTTCATGTTTATATGTGTCCCTGCTGTTTAGAAGCTTGGTGGAAGTTAAAATTTGGGTCAAAAGTCGTCTTCATTATATTGATAAATATGACGATGACTGTCTTAAAGTTGGTTGATTGATTCCCAATTTGAACAAAATTAACTGCAGAATTTTATATCAAAACTTGCAAGATATATCTTTGAATAAAATATTGTGGTTTAAGAATGGGACTTGGTGAAAACTCTAATTACAGTAACCATATAAGTTCTAAATTTATAGTAACATGTAATTTATTTCTAAAAACATTTTAGTTATTTCTAACAACATTTTAGATATTTCTAACAACATTTTAGATATTTCTAACAACATTCATTTCTATCACAATATTAGTTATTTTCTATTTACCGTAGGAGATCTGTTGAGTACACTAACTATAGTTCTAATGAGAACACTGAGACCCTCGTTATGGAAAGCAATCACTACACTGGTAGAAGGAAGGTTGGAGGGATAGTTCCAGTTTTTACAACCAGGCTCACGCAGATCCTAAACATCAAAATCAAGGAAGATCAAAGAGGCGTACACGGGGGGGGGGGAGGGCTCGGGTCCCTCAGATCAGGTTCTAGGGTTCCTATAGGCCCGACGTGTGTCTGAATATTCCCCACCCTGGACTAACCATGGGGTGAGATGAGTTCGGTTTCTACAGGGTGTCCCATGAGTCCCACGAAACATGACAGTTGGTGAATAATTTAAAATGTCTTCTTCCATAATATGTCAAGCTGTTTGTTGCCAAAGAGAATAATAATAAATATTTTATGGCATTCATATCAATATTATAGTAAAATGGATTTAATTCTAAATACAATATATTTGAGTAAAGTTTTTTTAAGCTAAATAAACTGCAAAAAGTCTAGTATCTAATATAATGTCATGTTTCGTGGGACACCCTGTACTTGAATTCAGTCGTGTTTTGGTCTATATTTAAACAATCTTTAAACTTACTAAGTTATCTTTTTATACTTTTTATTAAAAACGCACATGCCAACAGAAAAGTATAAAAACGAATAGGCGAAAAAATTATCTTAAATAGGTTAAATTGTTCTAAACAAAAAATCTACGTTCTACTGAGACTTGAGACTTTTGTTTATATTTCTCCCAGAAACTTGCAGTACACTTAGTTTGTAAACAAATCTATGGATGTTCCTAATCCTGGTTCATCTTCCTTGGTAGACAAATCTGTGGATAATCCTAATCCTGGTTCATCTTCCTTGATAGACAAATCTATGGATGTTCCTAATCCTGGTTCATCTTCCTTGGTAGACAAATCTATGGATGTTCCTAATCCTGGTTCATCTTCCTTGGTGGACAAATCTATGGATGTTCCTAATCCTGGTTCATCTTCCTTGGTGGACAAATCTATGGATGTTCCTAATCCTGGTCTATCTTCCTTGTAAGACAACTAGTTTTTAACATCAAATTTGCTTAACTCATTAATTACTCATTTGATGAAGGGTTACGAAGAAATATGGCACTTAATTTTACTCGCCTAAAACTTTTAATCATTTTATTTTCCTGCAATCTGATGTTGTAATCCTTTAATAGCTTAAACTATAGAATTCTGCTGCAATGGTCGTCGTTTATATCAATACAATGAAGACAACTTTTTAGTTAGTACAGGGTGTCCCAAAAAACATGGGAATTCAGTGACGAATTTGATATCGTCTTTGTTATGAATTAGCATTGTAATACCTAATTTCAAAAGCCATAATATTATTATGTCTGCTAGAGCTTATTTTTTGAAAAGGGTAAAAGACTGTAAAGATGTGTCTATAATGTCTCCGCAAGATGAACAGTGAAGACAGACAAGTTTACTCTGTTTGTATACTGCAATTTTCTTGTTTTACTAAGTACAACTGTATGCAGTCAAAACATAAACAAACAAAATGTAAACATAGCAGACGAAACTCTTACAGATTACAGCTTTCTCAGTAGGTATCACTACACTAAATCAAAGAATTATTTGAAAAGACGATATCGAATTCGTCACTGAATTCCCATGTTTTTTGGGACACCCTGTAGACAACTTTTAGTTTTGATTGTTAACAAGCTTTTTTTCGATTTACAACGTTACAGATTGGAAATTTTTGTTTAGTTATTAAAATGCTTACAATTTTTTATCCTAGTGTAATAAATTGTTACCTTGACATCTCTGTCTAAAGGTATCGTATCCGAGGTTGTCATTGACATCCCATACTCGATCATGTCAAACTGTTAGACATACTTGATAAAAAGTAGATAGGAATGGCATCTTGAGTTGTAATTGACATCCCATACTCGAACGATCATATTAATCTGTAAGAATACTGGACAAATAAATAAAGGAATTCGTAAATAAGGTTGTCATTGACATCCCATACTCGAACATGTCAAACTGTCACTCGATTAGACAAAACAAAAATACTTTTATACAAATATCTGAACTTGTAAATGACATCAAAATGTTGATTATCAAGAGTTTCCTTGAGTGCTGCCCCTAGGACAATAGTTTTTTCTCCACCCTATAATTATTTTAAATATTATTAATATTTTCAAATTTTCAGCATTTTTTAAAAATACAAAATAATTATATCAATGTAAAAAAGTATTTAATAACTTAATAAATTCGTGTTTCTCTCTAATTTGCTAAAAATTCTCACAATGAAGCAGTTTTTTAAAATATTTGAATCTACAGGGGTATCCACAAAGGATTAGACTTCAGAGACGACTGTACAGAATGTATACTGTCTGTTTCTTAAGTTATATTTATGGGGGGCTCAGCCCCCCTGGACCAGTGAAATCTATAGATTTCAGGGGGTTTTCAGCCCCCAACGGGTGCTCAGCCCCCCCCCTCGGTAAAGAAAAAAATGTTAAGCCCCCCCCCGGACAAATTCCTGAAAACGCCCCTGGTTTCCTCATATTTATGATGCTCTTTAACTGTAAACTTGATTCTTTCTTTTCCAAATTATCAATTAAGTCCGTAAAAGACTGTGTTCAAGGCGTAAGTCTAAATTTAACCTTGGGATCGTCAGTCTTATCCTTTGTGGAAGCAGGGGGGGGGGGGGNGTTTATACTAAAATTACCGGGGGTGGTGAGGGAAATGGTTCATAGTTTCCAACAACATCTATCAGAGGAAAAATATATTAGTAATTTGGTTGAAAATATAGAAACTTGCAAGCATTGTAGAGGGGAGACGTTATCGTAGGCTTCCATGTGTTCGAGTAGCAAGTCTGATTCACAATGGTCCTCTTTAAACCTTCATCTCAACAAGAACGAGGAAGCAATCCTATTTTTCCTCTGTTAGAAATTGTTTGAGTGACTTGCTGATTTTTGAGACAAAGATAGGAATTGGTAATTTTAATAGGCACGTTTAAGATAAAGATTGGAATTGGCAATTTTAATTGGCACGTTTTGAGCAAAAGATTGGAATTGTCAATTTTAATTGGCACGTTTTGAGAAAAAGATTCGAATTGTCAATTTTAATTGGCACGTTTTGAGATAAAGATTGGAATTGGCAATTTTAATTGGCACGTTTTGAGACAAAGATTGGAATTGGCAATTTTAATTGGCACGTTTTGAGATAAAGATTGGGATTGGCAATTTTAATTGGCACGTTTTGAGACAAAGATGGATATTGGCAATTTTAATTGGCACGTTTTGAGATAAAAATCTAGGATTTCTTCCTTATGGTTGCTTTGCTCAGATAAAGGTTTACAGAGAAATGTTGTGAATCAGGCATGCATCTCTTCAAATGGGGTGGGGGGGGGGGGCGAAATTGCCAGTCTGCAATTACTTTAAATAAGAGATGCTTTTTTCAGAAAATTATCTTCTTAAAGGCATAGCGAATTTAATTACTTCTGTTTCGACCACAGCTACTGTTGAAGGTTAAAAATAGTTTAATAGATTTTTTGACAGGAATCAGAAATGATTTTTTAGGCGGGAAAATTACGGCATTTTATTCTGAATTCTGCTCCAATCATAAAGATTATTTTGATATATTCCTGGAGTATAAAATGGCAGTGCAAAGTTTTTATCACAGAAGGAGGATGGCAGACTTGCATAAAATATTTCTGCAAACACAATTAAAGTTCTTGGTTTTAAAAAAAGAATATTTGATTTTTAATATTTCTACAATTTTTAAGAATATAAATATTGTTTTCAGTGAGGAGATTTGTACAACTACATCTAGATAAATGTTATTTTAGTTAAAAAAAAACATTTTACTTTTAGTGTTTATTTCTTGATAATTATGAATTTTTAATATGGCTGATAATTATGAATTCTGAATATATCTAATTAATAATGATAAATTTTAAATATAACTGATAATCGTGAGTTTTGAAAGTAACTGAATTTTGACTATAACTGATAATTATTAGTTAAAAACTGTAATGATTCCTTTAGAAGTTTGCGTCTGACACTGCTTAAAGGAACGCAGTAAATAGCAGTCGAGAAACCCGATCTAGAAATAAAAAAATATATATTTGTTTTACTGCTACTTCTAAAAATTTTGCTTCTAACGCAAGAATGTATTCGAAATCTTTCAAAATTGCATTTAATTTAGCTAACGTTTGTGATTTTTTTTTGCACAGGCCAGACGCGTACTCAAGAATTTGTTCAAGGGAAGGGGGTAATTTTTTTTTTCTTTCCAGGGGGGTGTCACAGTAGTCAGCACCCGTTTGTACCTAAAAACCTATTTAATTGAGTAAGCCTCTGCCTTAGGCATATAATTTACATTGCTCTTATTTTAGCTTTAGTTTGATAGAGTAATTTTAAAAATATACAGATTGATTTTTTTAGTGAAAGCGTGATTTGATATAAAAATTTGCCCAATCTATAAATATAATAAAATCTGTGTATTAAAAATATTTTGTTTAACATACCTGGAAAATCATCAGCAATGCTAGATGTTTCATTTTTTTAACTTCAAAACAAAATCGAGAAAAAAAATTTTGGAACCTGAAAAATCTTTCAAAAACATAGTTTTAGATAAAAAAGTTTCTTCTTGTTTGCTTTTACATGTGTACTGTTAATTGAGAACTTTATTCAAATATTTAAATGTTTTAGCTGTTTGAAAGCGTGGTACCGTAGAAATCAAAATCAAAATAGAAAGTCGTCAACATAGTATTAATATATATACAACGACGATTGTATGGATACAATTATTTGGAAATTTTTTCCAGAGACTTTAGAGTATTTTCACATTTAACAACATTTTATTTCACTGCTCACTGTTCGATGTGTGCATCTGTTAGAACTGTTATGTGTTTCTAAAACAACTGTAAGATTTAAAGTGTCTAAAGCAAGTAGAATGAACAGTTGTTTGTAAGACTCTTATTTCAAATTATCTTCATAAAATCTATTGATCCTACAGGGTGTCCCACGAAACATGACAGTTGGTTAATAGTTTAAAATGTCTTCTTTCATAATTTGTTAAGTTTAAACAAACCAAAGAAAATAATATAAAATATTATGGGCAGTCATATTTTAGTAACATTGATTTCAAATTAAAATATATTTGAGTTAAAGAAACTGCAAAAAGTCATATTTCGTTGGACACCCTGTACTTCAGCTGTATATTTATTATTTTTAATGTCATCATAATTATCTAAATCATTATCTAAAGTTAAAAACTTGCGTTTTTGATTCTAAAAAACATTTTCATGAATGAAATTTTTTACATGTTAAATTTTCAAATTTTTCTTTTTTTGAAAGTGCATGACAAAAGCTCTGAATGACAATGAAAAAAATAACATTTGTTGAATTAAAGTTGTAAACTCTGTTTGTCTGTCTGCTTGTTTGTCCGATCATAACTTGGTTTGCCTCAAATTTTGATTGGGGAACTCGGAAGACCCACAGGAATGTTCTTAGCTTGGTTTTGAGATTCTAAGTTGAGTGGGACGACTTTAATTGCGGGTAAACGACCAAATGATGCGGGTAAACGGCGGGAGTAACCTTGGCAGCGCTGGGTTTCCAAGCTAGTATATTATAAAATTACTAGCTTGGGAACCCAGTGTTGCCCAGGGTACTCATAGTGTAGTAAATATGCTATTCCATAAACTGCTCTTGAACCCGTATCTATCCAGCTACAATTCAGTTTAACTTATAGCTATCAATACTAAACCTTAACACAATCTTGTCAGCTGTCTACACAGACACAAGAACACCATCGATCAACGCCAAATCAATGGCCACGATCAGCTATCAATGTCTCTCTACAGACACAAGCACTGAAAAGATCAATGCCAAACCAATGGCCGCCATCAGCTAAAGTCTCTATCCAAGGACACAAGCATGTAGTCAATAAACGCCAAACCAATGGGCGCGATCAGCTATCAATGTCTCTCCACAGACACAAGCACGCAACTATCAATGCCTCAACTGGGACATGATCTTCAACTCATTTGTTTAGAACAAGGACACGATTACTCTCTCGCAGTAATCAAAGCAAAGTTTCCATATCAACTGAGTATATTTCTTCAGGTTAGATTGTTAAGCGCTGTTAGATATATAACGTAGTTAAGCAATCACAATATGGGTATGACAGAGTTATATATATATATATTATATATCTACGTAGTTAAGCAATCACAATATGGGTATGACAGAGTTATATATATATATATATCTACGTAGTTAAGCAATAAGAATATGGGTATGACAGAGTTATATTATATATAGTATCTAGATTGGGTTAATCGTAATACATGATCTACGTATTTACTAATGAGCACATTTAGATATATTAACAATGTACAGCGTAATTTGCCTGGATTTACTATGGGGCCTCTGTATTTATTACAATAGTTACTCCCGCCGTTTTTTTCGTTATAAAAGTGAACCCACTCAACTTAGAATCCCAAACCAAGCTAAGATCATTCCCATGGTTCTACTGAGTTCCCCAATCAAGATTTGAGGCAAATCTGTCCAGGGGTTCATGAGTTATGATCGTACATACAAACAAACGAGCAGAGATTACTACTTTATTTATATGCTAGCTTGGAAACTCAGCGTTGCCCAGGGTACTCATAGTTACTCCCACCGTTTACCAGCACTTGGTCGTATATTACGATTTTAGATATTCTTCCCGATATTTGAGGAAAATCGGTCCATGGGTTCCTGAGTTATGATCGGACAAACAATCAGACAGACAGACAAAAAGAGATTACAACTTTATACACATGGATATAATTCTTTTTGAATATAATTGTTCAAGTTATAAAAACATCTGTAACAAAAGTAACATAATTCATAAACATGGGATTTTTTAACTTTTTCCCGCTTTTACTCTTTCTTGTTTTTCTTTTCCTCCGGCCCACCATATTCATGAAAATACAATTCGATGGATGAATACTCATTAGATACACCCCTTTTATAAACTATCCTCCGATATATCCTGCAATCCGACAAATATACCTTCTCGTAAACTTGCCTCCGATCAAACCC